GGGGGGGGGGGTTGGGATGGGGACGATGCCCAAGCCTTTCCCCTGAAGACTGTACTGTTTTCGCCCCCGGCCTGTAAGGGTCTCTCGAGGTAAAGAGGGATCCAGCTTTTTTGCGTTAGGACTACAGAATAGGACGCTTGAAATACGGTCTACAGAAAAGAAGGGGAAAGAGAAGCCGATATAAGAAGTTAAGCAAGCATTTTTCGGCCACTTAGACGGAGCGTTATGTCACTTATGCTCCTAGGCAAACCTGCTAGAATTAAATACAAGTATCTCCTAGGTTTGAAACGGAAGCACCACCGGCTTATGGCAGTTTCTGTGGTGAATGCTTTAGTAATAAAAGTAGAACAGGGAAGGATGACTCCTTTAAAAATTGCAATCCGGTTTCTTAAAAGAATTTTTTTTCCATTCTTGTTTTCTAAAACAATACGAGGCACTGGCATTATTGATATTATCTGGCAATTTATAGATAAAGCTTGACATGTCTGTTGAAAAGTAAGTCCAACTGTATTTTCAGGGGTTTCTCTGTTCTAAATGTGTTCAGACCTGCAGATGTTTAATCGTTGTCAGAAAGACCCTTTCACTAAAATCCACACGTAGTATCAGCTGGACTTGCCCTATGCTTTTTGTTTGTTTATTAGATCTGTTATGATCTAAAAGAGAGCTTAGCTCTAGGATAAAGTGATAGTTTACATTCTCAGAGGTCTTACCGTAATCATTTTAAGATCGATCGATCTCTAGCTATCTGTTTATCAGTTCAAGAATGACTGAATATAAATGAAGTGCTAACGATTACCCATGATACTCAGGTGCTGTCAAATTCAAAGCACCCTTTTTAGAAAATCCTGTAAAGATTAAATAGTTTTACAACATATGCATGTGTGTATAACCTCCCAAAATATATATCTCCACATAGTCTGTATGTCACATGTATCAAATCATGAAAATGTTCTACATACAAATTATATATATATATATCTTTATATATATAGGAAATATATATATATTTCTTTATCTTTATAGGAAAGTGTTTTTACTGCTTACCACTTCCTTCACAAGTCACCCAGTGCTGTTTACCATAAAACTGCTGTTTACACACAATACCCACACACTCCCTACAAATCAACATCTGTGGTCAGTATCCTGAAGTGAAAAATGTTCATAGCTCCACAGAGCTGGAGTTCATAGAAAAAGAAAGGTCCATCCAACAGCATAATAAACATTGTGGATAAAACACCCAAACCCGCTTGCAGGAAAGGCGGCTGTGTGGAAAATGGGGAGATCCTGGGCTGGAAGTCAGTGCCACAGAACTCGGTGAAAATCTCTGGACCGAGACTTGACGGGCTGGAAAAGATCCGGGCGTTCTGACCATAGTTGGTTAGATTCCTACAGCTTTGATCTGGTCATGGTAAGGAATAACCTATCTCTAACGCTGATAGTCTGGAAGTAATTTTTTCTTAATTCAGTACTATGCCCCCCCCCCCCCCTCCCCCCCCCTCTCTCCTCAGTGCGGTGTTGGAGTGGTGAGGCTTGGACCTAAAATTCGATCTCAATTACTCTTATTTCCTTTCTAT